TCTCGACCGCTTTTTGACCACTCAAATGCCTCTCTTCGTGTGCGTCCAGAGGCAATAGACCTCTCCACCTCGCAGCCAGAGAGGGCCACGTGGAGGTCCTCGAGCGGCTCTTGGCCGCGAAAGCCACGGTGGACGCAGAGCAGAAGAGCGGCCGGGGAGCCCCGGAGCTCGGGACGCGGCTCGAAGGCTGCGGGAAGCGTCGACCGGATCCAAAGAGACTCACTCCGAGTCACGAGGGTCGGGTGAAACATTTCATGGTGCAAGCTGGGTCATTTGTATCGTCACAAGAAAGAACAAGTCTCCAAGATAATCGAACCGAATGAGAGAAAAGAACTGGCTGGTATAGGGTTTGGGTCTCACAAAATTAGAAAATTCATTGGCACTGGCAGTACTTGGATCTTTGTGGCATCCAAACTCCAGATGGTGCGCAACAACAGAGGCTTTGTGTCTTTGACCACTCTTGCATAAATCATGAGATGCGGGGAAAGGTCTTCCCGCTTTAACCTGCCCCGAAAACGGGATTCAAGAGATGAAGTGTTTTTGGGGATCTGTTTAGGGAGAAGGATGCTTTCAGCATTGGCAGACAGGGAGAATAATATTTTCGGCGTGAAAGTTGAACTTAAACTCAAACCATCCAGGCGTCGAAGAGTGGGTGATTGGCAGTGAAAAAGAACATCCAGGCTTCCTCCGGAATGAGCCCCCGTATTGAAGACCTTTCCCTTTCCCGGGAATGGAAAACCAGGCGGAGTCGTCCTCGGACTGTCTGAGGTGAAAGACCTTTGCACTGGGCGGCCTGGAGCGGCCACCGCCACGTGGTGGAGCGCCTCCTGGCGGCCGGTGCCGTCGTGGAGGCGCAGGACAAGAAATGCCGGGTCGCCCCAGTGTTGGAGGGCGTGGACGGAGTGTCCGGCTGCTTTCGGCAGGGAGGAGAAGCTTCCGGCCGTGGAAGTATAGGAAGCAGCTTGGGAAAGATTAGATACGCGGAGGGACACCGCCAATGCAGATAGAGTGATTCGCAGAATGACTGAAACGCCCAAGGATGTAGGCAGCACAAAAACTCTCAACGGGTTGCCGAACAACCCAGACATGCCAATGCCCCGACTTCATCGAATTTCACCTCTCTAAGTGACGGGAGTACCGGGGTTACCGGAGTATGAATGATCTCTCAGAGAGGCTGAAAGGGCCCTTCCCTGACCATCCCAAAGTGCATCAAAGCGCCCGCCCTCCTCCCAGAAAAGGTGGTTGCAGGCCGCTCCACTGGGCGGCCTTCGAGGGCCACCTGCCCGTGTGGAGAGACTCCTTGCGGCGAAGGCCGAGGTCGAAGCCAAGGACAACAGAGGCCTTGGGGAGCCCAGTTGGGTCGAATTGGAGTGGCAGAGTGCGGTGGAAGAAGTGAAGCTGTGAGGGTGGGCCCCGAGAGTCTTCAAAAAGTCTGAATAGTGCAAGAAAAGATCATGTGCGGAGGGACAGTACAAGAAACATTCCGACCTATCAGCTTAAAGACCATAGGCACACCTGGGTTCGTTTGGGTTCAATTCTTCCTCAGAAAGAGCCCCCCTCACACCGCCACTGCAGATAGGATGATTTGCAGAACAGGAATGAATGAAACACTCACAGGAATGAATGAAACACTCACGTAGGCAACACAAAAACTCTCAACAGGTTCAGGACCGCTGAATCCGGCAAGTGTTCGACCTGAGAGGGATTCAAGACATGCTTTTTAGGGGAGACAATCGGCAGAGAACTTGATCTTAACTCAAGCCATCAAAGCCAAGCATAGCGAATGGGTGATTGGCAGAATAGCCAGAAAGCGTTTTGAAAGGCCATAAGTATCAGACCATCGTCCTCAGTCTGCCTCCACAATGAGTCCCCACCCCTTGCACCGCTAAATTGTGAAGACCGTCCCACAGGGACATGCGTTGTTGAGATGTTTCAAGGCTTTGCGCCGCTGGCCATCGTCAAGCTGAACCCAGAACTGTCAATGCCCCGACTTCCTCCTATTTCACCTCTCTAAGAAACCGCTCCGAATGACTTGAAAGTCGGCTTTTGCTTTCGCATGGCCTGAGGCAAGAGCCCATTTGACATGGCCAAGGAGGGGCACAAGTGGAAGGTGATGGGCGTGCTGCGTCCCGTGCCTCGGTGCTCCAAGATTGGTCTTCACTGTTCCACTATCTATTATTGTTTAGATTTGCTTTGAACATGGACAGAAACTGCTACAGTAGGCGGTTGACAACCAGTGTTCATGAATCGTCTTCACTGCAATCATTCTTCAAGTTCTCGGAGTGGACGACAAGCTTAGAACCATAGAATTTTACTTTGCTACACTGTCATCGAACTGCGCAGTCAAACACGCTTGATTCGTTCACCACATCTCCACTGAAGTTGACCAAATTTCCCAGGTCCACGTGCTGCTTTTGAGCGGGGAGGCCGTGCCCTGCAGCTTGGCAAGCAGGACACTTTAAGATTGCTTTGTAGCGAGCTGGCACCATGGGTGTCGCAGTTTGGAGAAGCAGAGATCCTGGGTCAAGATTCCTTCCTGCTTTGTCTATATATATATATTATAGCAGAACAATGCATCACTTGCTTGCCAATGTTTGAAATTGATAGCTACTCTCTACTGATAACATCACTATAGGCACTGACGGCCTGCCCACGGTTTCACCATGCCCCCAATTGAGCAACCAACAAATTCCGTTTCGTGTCATGTCGTTCGGAATAAGGTGACCCTCAACCTTATCGCACAGTTAGGGACCTCCGCGAAGAAGTGCAGCACCTTGTCTTCGATTTGAAGCCCTGAGGTTTGCTCCCCTATCGACTCTACGCTTGGACAAATTCGCGGTACGTTTGTCCCAAGCAACCGACGCGGATGGCCGGCACTTAACCACCAGCTTTGCACAATTGTTTGCGCTCTGTATATTTTGCCTTGCACCCTTTGTATCCCTTTGTCGTGCTCATTTCAGCCACCCTGCCCGCCTCAAGATGCTGAGCATTTACCGTATACTTCGAGAAAAATGGTTCTTGAAGACTGCCACAGATGTGCTCAGATTTCTTGTGTTGGTTCCATAATGCATGCTTACTTGCAGATTCCCTGTATCTGAGGAAGAAGCTCAAGCTTCAG